TAGCGATTGTCAGAAAACTATCTTTTCAAATATTTTTTATTTCTTTCAAAGAATTCAACTATCAATCTCATCATTTCTCCTACCCTAAAAATGACGAACTAGCTCAGTTAGGGAAATAACATACTGTGATAGAATCAAAAAATGAAACCATCAATCATCACTATACATTTTCTTATATATAATGTTTTTATTATCATATTTATGTAATGAATAAAATTCGTTTAGTTATTGATTTCCTTCTAAATAAGGAAAACAAAACAATGTTTGTTTTTTAATAAAGCGTCGAAAAAAGATAGTCATTACATTTAAAAAATGGCCTGCTAACGGATTGAATGTTGGAACATTAAGTTTTTCACAAAGAAACAACTACAACTTGTCATTGTAATTATTATATTGAAAATGCAAAGAAATTAGGAAGTTATGCCATCTAAAAATATTTCAGTGATTTCAGTAATCTGTAATAGTGAGACACGAATAATAGCGTTTGAAACTAGATGAATTTGTAACTATAAAGTAAAAAGTATAAAGTAAAACTTTGAGTTTGAAAAATAATGCAATGAGCAAATGACATGCTTGTAATTTTTCATGAGGTCACCGTAGGGTCTGGAACGCGACTTTATTCAATCAAGAAAAAATATCTGAAAAAATCCAAGCATGAAAGCAGTCGAGGCGAGATTCAACCGACGAGGAGTTATTAGGGGGTTTCAAGCTTCCAACGCAAGGAAAACAAGATCCAGAGACAATGCGAGGAAAGTCTTTTCGTAAAGCCCACAGCGAAGCGCATAAAAAATGGTGTTCGATAAGGCTCTGATTGGAAGGAAAAAAGAAATGGCTCTTCATGCGGGACCGTGCATGAGCATTCGAAATGAAGCTGGGCTTTTTGCTATTGTAGCTGGAATGGGGAAAAAAACGAGAGAGAGAGAGAGAGAAAGAGAGAGAGAGAGAGAGAGAGAGAGAGAGAGAGAGAGAGAGAGAGAGAGAGAGAGAGAGAGAGAGAGAGAGAGAGAGAGAGGGAGATAAAGGTGGCGCGTGGCCGCGCGCAAACGTGTCGGGAGAGTGCGGTGGCGGTAGAGAGCAGACGAAATTGAGGCTATGCCTCCGGGCGGCCGCATAGCCCAGTTACACAGCGCCCTCGTGAGCCCGCGTGAAAGTTGCGTCGGTATTGATCCTCTCTCCCTCCGGCGCTGCTACCTACTACGCTCACTGCCGACGCTTTCGCCTAAACTACTACTATGTTACTACTACTAGTGGTACCACTGGTAGTAGCACCACCTGCAGAGCTTTTATCGCCCCCTCCCCCTTCTCCTCCTCGCCACTGGCTCCCTCAGCGCTCTATCAAGTTCGCATCCCTGCTCCGAACGGCGCGCGCGCGCCGCTTTTCCCACCTGCGCTCTCCACCCTCCGGCCTTTCTCCGCAGTCTCTGCTCGCTCGCGCGCTTTTCCTCCCCACTCTCGCCACGCTTTCGCTGCACTTGTACGTTGCAATCTCTGCTGCGCGCGCGCCATCATTTCAATGGCCTGCACTCACCGTCGCGATCTTTCGACGAGCAACTGCGTAGGTATCCATGACTGTCAGTTCCAGGCGCGCCAACAGCCAGCGCGCCTTCCTGCCAAACGACAGATTTTAACGCCAACTTTATCTGCTGCTGAATGGAGTTGCTCGTTCATTTTCACATCGCTATAAGTGGATGACAGTCGCTCGAGATAATTTTCGAAGGGCTCTTTTACGGCCGGTCGTTTGGTTTTCAATCTCGAGCATTGCCAAGCAGCTCGCGGCTGTGTACGCGTGTCAGAACGAATTTATTTATCGATGTCTAGTTTGACGATCAACGAGAGCCCCATTCTACTTTGGTGAAGTGTCGATTCGGGCATGAGGTCGACAAACGTAGCTCTATAATTTGGAAAATGGTCTGCAAATAAAGGAGCGTTTGTTTTCTCGAGTAGCGAAAGCGGATCCCATGGGAAATGACCAAACGATAGGCGCGCAGGTCGCGCTGAGTTAGGGTCAGCGGCCCCGAAACGCATCGCCGTCAGGCGCGCATGCTGGGGCACATACCGAGCGGTCGGCGTCGTTCGGAATGGCGAGAGCTGGTGGTTGCTCACTTGGTATACCAGGCAGCGATAGCTGCGATACGTATTACAGAGGCGAGAGCCGAAGGAGCAATAAAAATAAGAGAAAGCGGGCGCGACACGTATTAAGTCTCGAGAGCGACAGACTCGAAGACTTAGCTGTCGGCTCGTGCCAATGCCACCTACGGGTTACGACGCGCGGCGCGTCGAATTATTTGGCTTCCCCCCTCGCAAGAGAGGCGCCATTTTTATCCTAAGCAGGCGACGCGTGGAATGTGGGACAGTGCCGCTTCGGAGGGCAAACACATAGGCAGTCAGCTATTTTCGTGCCAGACTGAGCCGACGACGACTGCTCGACAAGAGGACAACTTGCCAGGCGCCCGCGCCGCCGCCGAGAAACACGATCGGGCCGCGACCTAGCGCCACTAAAAACACTATAACAAACGCACGCCAATAGCCTTCGGAGCTGCTCCCTTTATACATCCAAGTCTCGTCTCCTCTTGCAAAGCCATTTGGTCTACCTACCAAGCTACTCCTCGCCATTCATATCTTGCCTCGTGCACTTTTACTCGGACATTTCAGACGGCAAAGCTGATATTCGCCATCACTTTTTATACCTATACGACAGCTTATATTCACTTTTTACAGCGTCTCGACTATTCGAAAAAAGATTGCAGTCTGAATGAAAATGCTTGGGTATCAAAGCTGACGGCAATACCTTTCACTGTTCAATCTGCTTTTCAGTGCTCAACAAATTGTTTGCAAGAGAGAGAGAGAGAGAGAGCGAGTCGTTACAAAGGTAAATTGGCATTTAATGCAAAAAAACACATTTTAAGGTGCCTCAAAGGGCTGGTTAATGGATGCATTCTTTTGAGCTCGAAGAGGCGAAAAAGTGCGACGCCGAGCGCGATGAAGATGGAGGCGCATCTTAGTCGGCGTCGCCGTCGCGGGACGCAACGCAGTGCGCCAAAATTAGAACAAGTCGTCGGATTATTTGCGTTTATGTAATTCGAGTAATTCAAGGCGTCGCGTCGCGACTTCTTGGCGCTAATGCCGATTCGTCGTCGTCGTCGTCGTCGTTGTCGTGTTCGTCGCGCGCAACGTTGACGATATGCATCGCGAATACAACCTGGACTCAGCACCTCACGACATTCTTTACCCAAGCGGCGCACACGAAGCGTCGCAAGCGGCCGTAAGTTGCCTTGCTTCTTCATTTTTAGAACGCATTTTATTTTGCCTCGTGCCCCTCTCGTCTTTCGCCGGCTCCCCCTCGGCTCTATAGGCTTCCGCTCCTAATGCTGTCGCGTTCCTTCCTTACGTAGGCATTGCACGCATGCCTTCAACGACCATTTCTCAATCGGACTTATCGCTTAATATTTTCGAAAGTTTATTTGCTCTGGACATCGACGCTGCTCCTAACCTTCGTCTGCCTGAGCACTTTACCCGCGAAAATGCATCGTATTTATCAAATTTACCAATTGACGCTTGTTCACGTGCCGAATGGTTTGTATCTCAAAGCTATTCAAGCTTGCGTTTCTTAATAAGTTAAGGTTCGGTAGAGCTCGGAAGGAGTAACCGATGATTACGAAGCTACGAAGCGGCGCGCTAAAATAAAATGGAGCCCAACCAGATCGCGGAAACGGCGCTCAATACGCCTCACTACGGCTCACTACTGGCTAGGCTTAAAAATAAAGTATTGCGCTCGGTAAGGTTGCTCCGTGACGCGGCTCACGTGATGGCGCAATTGCCGGGACACAGGCGAAAAGCCGAGAGAGAGAGAGAGAGAGAGAGAGAGAGAGAGAGAGAGAGAGAGAGCGGCGGACGCGACGGCGAAGGGTACGAACGGCGTAGCGCGCTTCCTCTCCGGACGGAAGCGGCGCCGATTGACCCACTGAAAGAGCGGACCTCCATCTCGGCCCGTACGCGTGCTCGCGCGTGCGCGTGCGTTTGCAGCCGTCGGGCCAACGCACGCGACGTCGCGTGTCCGCACCTGCACCCTCGCCGTTCCCCCACGCGCACTCGCTCGTCTGCGTTCTCCGTTTGGCGGCTCAAGTGCACGACCGCGCGGCCCGCGCTGCCGCCGAGTGGCCCAGGCGGCACAGAGGAGATGCGGGCGCGCCGGGCTGACTCGCACCTGCCGGCGGCACACGACGCTCCGGCTGCGCGCGGCCGCGCACGCTCGCGTCTCGCGCAGCCGATCGCATGCGGGCTCGTTTTTCGGCGATTAGCGCGTGCTCCTTCTCGCCTCGGCCGCCACAATGGACCCGTGCCGCCTCTTTGCTCGCGCCGCAAGCTGCGCCAACTGCCCCGCAGCGCACCAATCCAACAGATGATTCTTCCTGTCGGCCGCCCCAATTATTTACGTATTATCGATGCGCAGATGTCGCTTCTGTCATTGCTGACGACTGCCTCCAACTTTCTTTCCCATCCCTCTCTCTTCCCTTCTCTTCCCTTCTCTTCCCTTCTCGTCCCTTCTCGTCCTTTCTCTTCCGACCGACAAGATTAATTTGCTTAATTTTCCCGCCACTCCACGACCATACAGTGGGCTTTTATGCTCTCTCTCTCTCTCTCTCTCTCTCTCTCTCTCTCTCTCTCTCTCTCTCTACGTACAATTGTTCTTGAAAAACATACGTGCACGCGATCGCGAGGTCGTGCTACGCTGCCGAAGCTTTATCTGACATCGGGGCGGCCATATAAAACGTATGTCATCAACATTTTTTTTTAGATTACCGTCAGGATTGCACGAACATGCTACCTCGCCGCACACTGCGCACAATCTTCGCGCTCTTGTATTTCATTTTTCAAGCCACCTTCTCTTTGTTTCTTGACAATTCGCTCAAGTTATCCAGCGTCACCAAGTCAGTTCCAAGTTGCCATATTTTTATAATTATTCGAAATTAAATCATTCTCAAGAGAAACCATCTTTGCAGTGTCAAAACAGCCCAGCTGCTAAATCAACTTTGCAACGAGTCTCAAGACGACGAGTCCGTTAATCGTGATGCGTGCTACGGTTGTTTCTTTCGTGCCTCCAGTCACCAGTCCAGATATCCGCTCTTACTCTCGATGGCTGATTGTGCCGACAATTACTTAAACAACACCGAGTACCGCCACTGTGCCCAATATCTTAAGGCAAGTTTCATCTGTTTTCCTTCTCTATCTCCCAAAACATCGTCAACTCCGAGGATACAGACAGTTTTCTACGCCCTTCTAGAATGCAACTTCATCCGTTAGTGCTGGCTCCAATCCAAGCTTAATATATTGTTCATTTCTTGAATGCGTTCGACAAGTCAACAAAGACCAATTGGTAAGTAGGCTACATTTCAAACCAAATGTCGAGTGTGTGCACTGAGCTTTTCAAAAACTGCAAAAACTTTAATAGCACGACAAAGTATTTTCAATTACGTGAAACTTTTCAAAGCATAATCAGATCATTCATTCCATCTCGTTGAAATGAAAAATGAAAAATAGTTAGTTATAAAATCAGATGTTTTCAATTCTCATATTTTCAAAGGTTGATTACTTATGGGAGTAGATCAAATTGGGACCGCTATTTTCAAGTTCGATAGAGTTACCACACACAAGTGTTGAACTCACGTTTCTTCATTATTCGTCCAGACTAACAAACACACGCGTATGTACTTTTCATTTGATATGTATATTGTGACGAGCTAAAGTTCGGAGTATTAATGTACGTGTCAAACAGTAATATTATTTATTTTTTCGCACTATCATAATCGCGTGTAAACGTACCGTTCATTAAAATTGTAATGAATTTTGTATGATACACAGAGTGCTCTGGTACAGGCGCCGAGGGATCGCCGCAATGGGAAAAGATGTGCACCTGTGGTGGTCAATTATAACAATTTTAGAAATAATTCCAATATTTTCGCAAGAAATACTTGGTCTGGTTATTTAAAGCGAACAGTTTGTATAATTAAGGAAATCAATTTTGAATCTTATACTGCAAGACCTGGAGCAGAACCTGTTGATCCAAGGATTTTGAAATATTATAGAGTATTCAAATAATGTGGCATGTGTTTAAATAATATTTACAAAGTATATTCTTTATTGTAAAGAGCTTGCTTTTTTGTAAAATGGCACGATGGCGAGAAGTAGACAAGATGTAGCACATAAAATACATACTACATTGTTGTAGTATTCTTTATAAACAAATATTGATAATGTCAAACTACTTTCCTATGGCTAACAAACAATTTGCAAATTTTATGCACTTCTCTGAATCGGCGAGCACTATGCGAGTATGTAATTTTAATACTCTGTATGATTTCAATTTATTTATTATATACTTTTCGAATTAGTCAGTGCAAGAAGGCAAGTATTGCTTACTTTTATTTTCTCTCTCTCTCTCTCTCTCTCTCTCTCTCTCTCTCTCTCTCTCTCTCTCTATATATATATATATATATATATATATATATATATATATATCGGTTTTTCATTTGTACGTGTACTTTTCAAGCTTTTCATACGATGCGCATGTAATATTATCAATGAAAAATTACTTGTGTCTAGCTTATAATATGAATGCACAATTAGCTATTAGTAGCAGGTAAATGAAAACAAATAGTAATAATTCTTCTATTTTATATAAAAAGCCATCTATTGATTATTAATATTACAGATACGCGAATGCGTTTCCGAAGCAGCACAACTCATGTCCATGAGCAATCCCGATGGTACGAGTATCCAACTGCCCGAACTTTTTGTGAATACAACAGCTTGCATCTTAGCAAAGACACGATGTGAAAACCCTAATCCAATAAATGGAGCTATTAGCGATGATTACTGGAAAGATAAAAATTTATTGAATGCTTTGTTTGTTAACTCCGACTATGATATTACTATTTTACGTCTTCCTTTTGGCGGTTTTGTACCCGATGAATGTCATAAATACAGAAATCTAGAAGTGGCCTCTTGGCCAACTACGAAATGTTGATTAACTCGATCTGACTGTAATAAAATTTTTGACGAATGTAACTAAACTCATAATAAAACATCAATATCTGAATAAGGATTATCATAAAATAACCCATTTATTTTCTAACCTGCAAAGGGTTGAGCTCAATTAAACATTCTTCAAGTTCAATGTCTTAAAAATTGAGGTAGTCGGTATGAAACAATGAAAATTGAAAATATTTTGTTGGTGTGTTAAAGTGATTCAAATAAACATGTCAACGAGAAACTTTGTTTCCTCAAAATACTCGAAATAATCCTTAATTTTCTTAGCTATCAATTTAAAAATCTTAAGCGTACACCAAACAAAGCCATCGTACCAAACATGAAAAAATGAGTTTCTTAAAAAAGTACTTGGCTCATCTCACAGTTGATTTTAAAGAAGTGATATTCAGAATTACGTGGCACGCTAAATATTTTGCATGACTACGATAGTAAAAATACGTTGACTCTGTGGAGCGTAAACTTGTGATTTTGAAATTGATAATTAAAAAATTAAAGATTATTCCGAGTATTTCGAAGTGAATAAATATTTTGACGATATCTCTATTTGAACAGCTTTTACGCGCCAATAAAGTAAACTTGTCATTTTCACAATTTGACAACGACTGGATACCCAAAGCAAATATGACTATGAAAAAATGAGAATCATTGCGCGCATTGAAGTCCTGGGATATTATTTGGGCAAGTGAATTGAAAAGAGCGTAAGTTGTAGATTACCCTTGCGTATGTCCTCGTTCAATCATTCATAGAATTTTAGAAAAGCTACTTTGAAATACGTATCCATATTTAAACTTATTCAAATAGCCTCGCAAATTGAAAGCTACGCAAAAATAAACTCAGCTGTGAAAGGCGTTTTTCATATTTCATGTTGTCGCTTGACAACATAGTTCATTTTCTTAACAGAATTGTACTAGTTAGTAAATGTTTGAATTAGCGAAGACGAATTTGGGAAAAAACGCGGCTACGGGTTCGATCGAAGGACGTACGAAGCTCGCTAGGATAGTGGATGCGAGTGACGCTATAGGGATGACGTCGCGGGTGCACGAAACATCGCCTGCAGCTTGTGACGCGGCGAGCACGAGTAAGGCGTAGGCGACGGAGACGCGTCGATGCACGGGCGGCCGCGCGTTCACACACGTGCCGACGACGGGCACGCGGTTTCGCCGTTTCGGCTCTGACGTCATCGGCGCCTTGACGTCACCACGAGCAGAGGCGCATTTATCTACATGTAGCTATACCCTGCTCTGCATCTGCGCCGCATCTCGGCTCTCGGCATGCCGCGGCCAACGAACTTTCGTGCTTTTGCTCCTTGCCCGCTGGCCGGAGTCTGCGCACTGCTTGGCTCAGACTGAACATACTTTGCCGGGCAATGTGTGCATTCGGACTAAATCTGCACTCTAATCATCCGAATGGCCAAGCGATGCTTTCATGTTGACAATTAGACGCAGAACAAGCACTGGCTAGTACTTGTTCTACACATTGCTTATCATTGCAGATCGCAGTTAAGGTTATGGCACAGACGCGACTATATAGCCAATACGCCAAGCTTTATCGACGTGTGCGTGTTCTAATGTCAGCGATAAAGCTTGTGAGGATTTCGATGGGAGTGCGAGAGCGTGCGAGCTGCATGGACAAGCTCCGGGAACGAGCGTCGTCGCATGCTAGATGTTGGTTTGCCAATGCTAAACGCAAGGAGTCGTGTATTGCTTACCGGCACGCTGGGTAAGCTCGTCATGCTTAGACGGCGGACCTGATCCTCGTGGAGCTGTTGCCGGATAAACCGACGAGGACAAGCCGCGCCCTGCTTTTCTGCGCGATCAACCACTCCAATGGTTCATCGTTTTTTTACATTTCTAACACTCGTCCTCAACGAAAGACATTTGCCGCGATCGTGTTCCGTATTCAACGCTCGCCGCCAGTACCTCAGCGGCTTTCGGACAAAACTTTTCAGACGATCCACTATCCGGCGCTCCCAATCGTGCATCCAAGAGACACCTGACGTCGCTCCACTGAACATTCTTTATAAGCACAGATGCACTGCCTTATCGACATACCTGCTTATGGCTAAATAATGAATTCATTCAAATTTAAGGTACCTATCCCAAGTTTCTGTGAAACAGTTCTGCTCGTTACAATAAGTAACTGAAAATCATTCATGATTGCATTTCGACAATCAGACTTTTCGTCAAATTAAAATAACGTATAATTGGGTTTTAAATCCAATAAAATATATACCTTTCAATTAATTTTGAAATGGATTTTTAATATTTTTCAATAATATTCAATCGATTTAATTGACCTTACACTAGATGAAAAAAATATAAAATCACAAGCCGTACACGTGTAAGGAAGCGTACTTCATATATTTTTATTTACAAATTTACCGCGCTTGAACAACCAGTTGTCGTATTGACAATCAATACTAGAAACTTAAATTATTACCTAAGTACTTTCTAATTTTTAATTAGATCGGTCGAAGCTTATTGAAATACTATTACGAAGTGTACTGATTATAACTTGAGATCCGAGAAGCTTAAAACGACAGGCCAGATTAGGCTTCGGTGGAACTTTACTGAAACTTTTCAAAATTTTATTTTTTCGACGCCTCATTATGTAACTGTCATCTTTTAAATTCCCTTATAATTTAGAATAGGAAAGGTTTTAATCAATTGGTCTTTCAATTAATAATAATGCAAATAATTGTAATTTAAAATTTACTATTAGTTAAAATTTAGTCTGACTGATAATGAGAGAATCGCTCACTCCGTATCTCGTAAATTGACCGATGAGAAGACGCGCGAGTCAACGATCATTTACTACCCCCCTCCTTCTGAAATCCAATCCTTTTAGAAATTATGTACATATAAATTATAACATTTTTAGTTGAATTGCCGTTAATAAATAAAAATAGAAATCTCATCTCCAAATTACTAAAATAAAATCTTACTTTTATAATATTATATGTAACCATTATTGTATTAAATTATAGCATATTAAAGTCCGAATGAACACTAAACAAATAAATATGGAATGCAATGAACTACTTGATTTCACAGATGGTGTTAATAAAAAGTCAAAAATTACTTTGAACAGTGAAGCTCAAAGCGTAGGTCATCACGACGAATAAATATACCAATATACACCTTTAATGATCACTACTGGTTTGCCGTTTGTGTCGTTACTAATACATACTCCCAAAGCTACTTATAATGCTTTCATACTGTCGAGCAGATATACAGAACATGTATAAATCATATAGGAATCAAAATTTATTTAAAAAATTTAAATTACATAGAAATACATGTATGTACGCATAAGTAAACTATTACAGGAAAACCGCAATAAAATATTCTCATTGATAATTTATTTAAACAAGTGTATACTGGTACCTTGACGAAACAAATTTAACTATACACTATTTATGAGGAATTTGACTATTAGTGCGATTAATTGATAAGCAGCTAATCGCACAAGCATTGTTTCCAGTTTGCCCGATGCATACTACATTTTTATCTACTGATAAAATAAGTTTTAATGTTGAAAAATTAGTAATCATGAAAAAGTTTTATAAAGAGATAACGATTGAGAAATTTTTCAAAATAAAGTTTCAAGTACCACTAAAGAGAGATAATGCCGAATTTAAGATACTGTACATTCATAAAGATCATTGTCTAGTTAACAACGACAGTATTAAAAAACTAAGTATAATCAAAATTTTTAGTCGCTTTGCAAGTTGATAGTTGTGAAACGAAATACGATAAAACTTTAATAAATAAATGCTCGGCTTAACTCGAAGTACAAATGAAAATATGTAAATTACATTCATCCATTACAGAATATCTTCCAATAGTTTTTCATTATCATTAAAATGAATTGGATCAGGTAAACGAATTTGTATTACTCTAAAACATTATACGGAAATGAACTTCTTTTTCTTATTATACACTCGTTAAGTAACACTTACAGCTAATTAAATCAGTACAGCGTAACGATGGGTCTATCTAGTCGAAAATTCATCGATAATTTATCATTTGTTTGCCATTTATCTTTCTGTGGATCATATATTTCAACGGTTTCAGCATCTCTAGTACCTCCTATAGCTAACAACTTTCCTTTATAAACAACCATATAAAACTCGAACCTCTTTCTTTTCATACTGGCCATTAATTGTCATCTGATGAATGAACGTGGATTAGAATTATTGATAAAAATAAAATATATAACATAAAATTTATCTACCTTTCCGACAACGGATTATAAACTTTTACACTTCTGCAATATTTTCTTTGGCCCTTGCTGTATTTCAATCCTCCAGCAATATACAAGTTATTGTCTAGAACTGATACTCCAAATCCTACACGTGGTGGATTCAACGGTGCCAACTTCGACCACTTTTTCGTACCAGCATCATACATTTCAACCTGCAATTTTCAATATTTACAAAAAGTATTATAAAGTGAAGTAAAAACCTTAAAATTATAAATTATTTGATATGATGCCGCCTTTTAGCAGTTTACGATCTTGTTTACATTTGAGTTGGTTTTTCTCGGGTAATCAAAATAAGGTTTTCCCGTAAGATCCTTCTAAGCCGTATTTATTTGAAAAAGTTTACCGACGTTTCAGTAACGTTGTATATCATAGTTCTGAAGGCCTAAAGGCCATTCAAGCTTTGAGAATGATGATACACAGCGTCTTGAGAATGATGATACACAGCGTTTTGAGAATGATGATATTAAATTTCAAATCTTTTCTCAATTTAATTAACTTGCAAATAAGAAGGACTTTTATCGTTCACTGAACTGATAGATGAACTGATATATTATGAAGTTTTATTTATATAAAAAATGATTACTTCAAAAATAAATTTAACGAAAGTCAAAGCATTCCTATACCAATTTTGCTCGTTGCAATGCATAGAACTACTTATATTTCTTTATCAAATAAAAATTAGCCATGATTAATAGTATGATTTCGCGTTTAAATAGTATTAGCTAATATTCGGAAAATAACCCCTCAGATCATAAGCATGTGTTACAATCCACGGCAAAGCATATGGTCTGTGCTTTAATTACTTGTAACAAATACTGAGATATAAATAATCTTATTTCGTGCAGTGGACAGAAAGTTAAACTTCTCAGTTATATATTGAAAATATACAAGATAAATCTCGTAATTTCTCGTTCAGTATAATTCATATATGAATTTCATGGAGATAGCGAGTGAGGATTTCAATGTATTACAGTTTTTGAAGAATATAAGTTTTCCATAGAAAAGTCTACACACCGCATCAACTAGTTCCGCTGACTTGTTACGACCACCAATAACGTACAGATACCCTTCATCAAAAATAGCGGTTGCATTATATCTTTTCGTTGGCATTTGAGTAAGCATCTTGAATGAATTCTTTCGCGGATTAAATCTCACAACCTGATTTGATACAGATCCATCTTTTCTTTGGCCACCACACAAATATAGAAACTTTTGGCTTGCACACATTGCACTACACCTATAATGTATAAGCAGATAAATATTTTTATTGTAATATTTTTGAATTATAATAATTATAAAATCATAAAAATTACCTTAACAATTGCTCTGAACTTCTTAGAACAGTATTTTGTTCTGTTAACAAATTGAAACTTGCTAAATTGAGTTGAACATTTTTTGGACAACTGTTATCAATAACCAAATAGTAAAAAATGTTATTCAATATGGTTCCATTTTGGATAGCCGAAGAAAGGTAACGATCGATAATTTTACGAGGTTGGTACCACTGCTCTGTAAATAATTTATTATTAAGTCATATTTCTAGTACAACTAATAGTAATCTTTCAGAGTATGTTTTTGCTTTATGTTAAACTTATAAAAATAGTTTCTTTTTTGACTCTTACTTAGTATAGAATTATAACGTTGTACATGAAGTTCCCCATCAAGTTTACCAACGCATATCAAACCAAATAGATCTTGCAGTAGAAGCTTATGATTCTTATTTTCAATTTGATTATAATAACAATATTCGATGTCTTTGATAATAGCGCTATAAATGAGCAAATATTACGTCAATGTTGAAATGATATGAGCTCGTAATGCATTATACTGAAATGTAATAATCCAATTATTATACCTATGATTTCCCGCCTTTTTATAAATATACTTCAATAAACTTTCTTTTGTTAATCCTGTTATGTCTATTAACTCCATCAAATTGTAAATATACATGTCTCGAGTGTTGATGTCGTGCAGGATCCACATAATGATTCCCTTAAAAAATGTTTTGTGTGGTGCAGGGAAATTCGAATTAATTTTCGCCAAAATGTCTATTAAATATTCATAATTAAATTCTAAAAACTCCTGCGTTTGTGAACATTTTTTAAAATGATTTAAAATACAAATTCTTGCTGCTCTTTTCAGTGAAATACATCCAATTTGATTTGCAAGCTTATACACTTGGCAGGCTTGTTCTTTTTTTAAGTGAATTTTTAAGTACTCAATGCAAACTTCCCTCACTTCATCTTCGTCAATGTTTACTGCTCCACTGAGTAATTCTACTACATTGTCATCAGTTAATAATATTTCGCCTGTATAAGCAAATGTCAGGAATGGCTCTAGTTCTCTAAAAAATATATTCAATGATAAGAATCACAAGCATTAGAAATAAATATTGGTACGTAGAATATAGGTCTCTACAAAGACTCGGCTTGGCTCGGGCGGTACTGTGATAATTAACAGAAGCTTAGTCAAATGAAACAATAATTGTAATCAGCAGTTGTACCTTTATTTAGCTTTTCATAGACACTAATTCTACAATATTTGTATTTTTAAATTATTAACTTACTTTCCACTTAAATCTGATAGGAATAGAATAATTTCAAGGCTATTTTCGGGCATACTCAACAATACAGATTTAAAATATTTCAAGTTTGCAGCAAGAATAAGACTGTGAGCTCTCAATTCTTTGTCTTTCGCCTGTGACACAAAAAAAATGTACAATTAGTATATTATTTCTTCTTTATTTTCTTGTAATATACTAAATATATTATGTTTTCTATCAGTATTATTTACGATTTTAAGAGTTTAACCTAGTCTTTCAATGTTATTGTTATAAAAAAAATTAATCAATCACATAATTAATTCCTATAAATATTATTTTTTAACAAGCAAGTATTAATTTTTTATTTGAACGATGGGGACAGTTATCCTATTTTTTCAAATATTAATCATGGGAATTAAAAAGAGTTATGTGAATATTTAGGAAAGGCGTTACAAATTGAAGACTCTAGAGACGCGGTCGTTCATAGTAAGATTTTAAATGTAATACAAATAAAAACAAATAAATTATATTGTTTTTTTTACATAGAGGACTTATAGCATTAAATAATATTAATTTCATACCTGGTTAGATGGTAATTAGATAGCAAAAACGAACCACAACCCTAAAATACCTCTGTATTTTGCGATATCTATTTTTCCACACACCTTTTAGATAAATTTGACAAGCATGGAGATGGCAGATAAGCAATCCTAGTTGCACGCAATAGTATCTTGTCACCGATAGATGAAGCTTGCATGCCGAAAGCTCAAAGCACGTTAACATTATATTTATATAGCTACAGAATGCGTGCGTATTGATAAATGCAGTTCTTAATATGTACGTATTTTAAGGTTTTGTACTATCACAGTCTGACGGCGGAAAAATTCATATTAATAATATAAATTATAGAAATTGTAATTTGAATTTCGCATTTGAAGTGTCAATTTTGAGATTCATAAGAAAAAAAGCTCGAAGATTACGATTCGTTTTTAAAAATTAACACTTTAAAGCCTATTAATTATAGCATATGAATGCTACTATTATAAATTGCAGAATTTAAAATTCTGCTATTAATTACATCTAACTAGGAATTTGATTTAACAATAGTCTCTAGATAATTGTAATCTACACGTACTTCAGGTCTATCTGAAAGGTGTGTGAAGATAGAGATTTTACTTAATATACAAAGATCGTGATATTTATTTATCAACACAAATATTTTAGTTTATCAATCTGGCAAACATCCTACAACTTCGTATATAGATACTTTCTCACACAGATTCGTGACCGCGACATAGATAATTACAGTTTCAGCTGTTTATAGCCTATAAAACGAATGCACGTATTGCATGCGAAAAAGAGAACATTTCAAATTCCCGAAAATTTTTTTTGAGGTTAAAGAATGAACTCGGTAAACAAAAAAATGAGTTATATGAGCATAGTGAAATTAAAACTAAATCAAAATAATTTTTTTAATATCACTTATATGTTTCTTTCGCAAACTACCGTCGCCATAAAAATACAGGCAGAATCTAGTTAATTTTCTATTAATTTTTCTACTGATAAATGTAAATATTTATGAATAATAAATATAAATATCTATAAAGAATGCGACTTACCTTGATTAAGACGTCGCAGAATCGTCCTGATAGTCCCATATCTTTCAAATTTGCGAAATGATTTGGTTTTTTATATAAATAATTTTGATTCTCCATTATGAGAATTTCTAACTTATGAGAAAGATAATGATACTACACATAGAAGGAAGTAAAATCTTTATACGTATTTGTACACTGCTATAGAACACATAAAAATCGTAGAAAAATAAAAACAGTAAATCTTATTTGACACTGATTGAAGCCGTATGCACGTAACGTAGTGTTTCACACAAAATCAAGGAGGAAGCTGAAAGATTGCGGCAAAGTTTGGACTAGCGAAGAAATGAACGATATAACAATTGCAAGTGCGCCTTGGGTGTAGCAAGTTCCTACACCTGTACAATCGCTATCATTCGTTTCCTAACTGTAGTTGGCGCTTTTTCACATCGTTCTTGATTTTGCGAGAAACACTGCCTTACGTAAAATTGGTCTTATGACTTTGGGTAGTACCGGCATATCCGCTACTACTATAGATGGTGAATACTCTACTACTATAGAGCGAAAATGCGATAAAAGTGGAAGGAAATCAACATAAACATCATTTACATATTGGTATAATTAAAAAACATTTGGTATCTTATTTTTAAATACTAATCAGGTATACAATTTATGAGTGAAATGTCTTAAATTATTATTTTATAAGTTAGTATATATAATGTTTGACATCAATTTCCGTGTTATTGTTCCATTCGAGTTATGGTTCGTGCGAAAGAATTTGTATGAAATGACATATTTAGCATCTGATAATAACAACTATGAAAAAAAAAGTGTAAATTGCAGTGTATTAATGTGAGATGTATGATTAATTACTCTTTCTTTAACCAGTAAATACACTTGGGCATTTGATGTGACTACCTTGGTTGCAAAAAATTTTAATTATTAAATTCGAACAAAATTACTTTTTTTTTTTTTTTAAATTAATAATGATTTACCTGTATGATAATCTACATTTTAATCTATATAATACCAATTCAAAGTAAACGTTGAAGAAAGTAATTTAGAATGAGCAATATCACATATATAGTTTGTAATAATGTTAGATTATTAATTTTTGATTGATTAATTGATTGATAAACATTTCAAAATAGTTATTTTTAACATAGTCTAAGTAAAACATCTTAATTTTCAAATCTACTTTTGTTTCAAATATTATCAATGCTAATATTGATCATTATATCAGTGCAGCTGTCAATACTAGTTTTACAATACTGTAGCTGTTCTTTAATTTAATATTGCATAGAAAATTTAAGAGATGCCTAATATATTATATTCATATTTAAAACTATTTTAACAACCTATAGAAATAATTTCCAAAAATTAATACTATACAGTTATTTTCATAACAGATTATATCATCCATGATTCAAGTTTACAATTTGATATCAAAATAGCTTTTTTTCTTTATACAAGTAATTTACATTATACATTTATCTTCAATTGTACTAATTTTATTTTTATTTTATAAATATTATAAAGCAGCTTGAAAAATTTGAAAAAAGATTCTAAAATCAATATTCTTCTAATACTTGCAAATATTAATATTAGAAAACAATGAATAATGTAAAAATAATTCATTGAAACAATATCGTCAAAGATCACATTTCTTATTAATATATAATATCTTATTTTATATTGTATTTGATTGAATAATGACTTTAAAACTGAGTAAATCTTATCTATTATCACAAAAAATTTAAAAAGTAAAATTACAAATTTCTCAATAGTTCATTAATAATATGCTAATAAATTACTACAAATTTGGCTCAATCCATTAAGATTACCATTTAAAATTGTTCTTTAAACAGATGAGAATGATCAAACTCAATGACCTTTACATTAAGAGTTTAGTGTATAATCAAAAAACACAAATCACTTGTATTGCTCGAATAAAAAAGTTGATTATTGCTGTTTTAACTACTTCTATTATGATTTCAGTAAGAAACACAACAAGATAATACTAGTCTGATTCTCAAATACATCATTGGTGAAGCAAAAGATAATTTTTAATCATTTTGCCACTGATTCTTTGGATTTTATATTTCAATAGCTGTCCCAGTGTTATCTCCAGTAGCCAATAGTTTTTCCTCATAGGTAACCATGTTAACTGGTAATTCACTTTATTTGCATACTAGCTATCAATTCCAAACTGATAAATGAATGTATGATTGATCCATTCATTAAATTAAATTATTAAATGTAAGTAAGTTATTGTTGACGAATCACAAATTTCTATACTATTTGTCTGGCCATCATTAGGAGGTTCGTTCCTCTGTTAAATGTACAGTTTGTTGTTTAGAATAACTACTCTGAAATCTTTGTGAGATATAGATCAATTCCAATGTAGGTTACTCCTTAGCATCAAGATCATACTTTTTATCTTTAAATTTATACACATCTATATCCATGTTATTATAATAAATTGAATGATTATGGCAACGTTCATCGTGAACGAAAAAATCGAAAATTTAAATATGAGGATTTGACTCCATATATTGCTTTAAATATCAAACTAACAATATAAAATACTATAGTCAGTAGCTTATAAATATATTAACATTGATTTAAAGCAATATATGGAGTCAAATCCTCATATTTAAATTTTCGATTTGTTCGTTCACGATGAACGTTGCAAACTTCATAATCATAAATCAGCTCGTTTTAATTTATTTATTGCAAAACACCTAAACATAATTAGTTTAAAAGTATATTATGCTAAAGAGGGTTCAACTAGCTATACGTGTGCGAAGTTGCGCGCGTCGGAACGCACCCTGTTCACCCTGACACCCTTGCAAAGCATGGCATCCCATTCGCGCAAAGGCGAATCATATGAATTTGTTTATTGTTAAATATTTAAAAATTAAAAACTCAAAAGTTGTTTAATTACTTAAGGGTATTGAGGACTACGTGTCTATGCAGTTTTGCGCATTGGGAAGCTCTATTACTACCCTCACCATCCTGTGATGTAAAATTTCATTAACGCGAGCATCGGAAAAAAGCGAATTTAACATCGTTCCTTCGTAAATATTCAGAAATCAAGAGCTTAACAGTTTATTTATTAAAGGGTATTAAGGACCTCATGTGTCCAGTTTCCGTCGTTGATAAGTAATCCCTGCCAATTCCCACACATTAATGTGGAGCTATCCGATTGTCCTCAAGTTCTCTCTGCATTTATCAGGGCTTGAGACCTGCACGTTTCATTTTGAATATTATAAAGGGTGGCTGCATTAAAACTTGTTTCTGTTTTCTTTTTTACTAGTGTCGTCAAGCGTATCGAGCGCTCATTTCTCGGTTGTATTAATATTGGATTTCATGCCTAAACTCAAACTTAATAACGGTCAACATTAATGCGACAATAAAAATTCAATTACGTTGACATTTGCATATTTTGTTATTATTTTATTCCGACTATCGTAGCAAATCTTTATCAGGTGTTTGTTAAATTATATAGATAACGGGCAGCACATTAAGTTCGTTTCACCTTCCGCGTCTAAATAAAACTAATGATTTTGTTTTAAAAAAAAAACTGGAACTCATTCAAACGGATTTTGGTTCGTTCGAAACAGTACTTTTCGCAAACTATATTTTAAAATGTTAATTTCGGCAATACAACTGTCATTTTCGACCGATTTATTCATCAAAATTTTTGTTATTTTTCTAAATTTAAGTTTAATGTTAACAATTTTTTTGAATAAATTACTGAACCAGATGAGCCGATCAGTTTATACACAGTATTTTATTCTATGAAAAAATCTATCGATTTATGTTTCTTTAAATCTTTAACAATGCTTCTTCAAAGATAAACTTTGTAACAGAGATATTGAATAAATTCATATGTCCTAAGAATAAATATAATTTAAGAGTATTACAGTTATTTTATCTTATATTGTTTTAAGGTTAGATTATTGAGTAAATGTGGACGTTATTTTTTTATCACGTAGGAAGTTTTACTTATTTTTGATTCACTCAATTAATCAATGTAAAATTAATGTAAAATATCTCGATATATTTATTAGCTCCAATTTGCTGAATATGTCAGCTTCTGTGCTAATAATGTATTGTATACATATGCATATACATACTGCCATGTGATGGCAACTCACGTGACAACTTTTCAGCTAAACAAATCACGAATAAACTGCCTTCACTTTTCAGGCCATCATTTTTTTTATATAAGATCATTTTTTATATAAGAAATAAATATAGGATACTCAGTCTTCTGACTCGCTTTTACGCTACTGCGTATATATTATTATTTAAGCTTAGATGTATACTTACAATTAGTCTTCTGACTCGCTTTTACGCTACTTCGTATGTATTATTATTTAAGCTTCAATGTATTTGAATCATTTCTATTAAACTCGGATCATATCTAATATATATTATCAAATATTTATATATATTTTTAATGTACTACTACTTTAATATTTTTTGGCTATCACCAATTTTGTATCATTTACATAGCTTGCATACGAAATCTTTAGAAATATCTTCGTATTCTTGTAATTTTCTCTTTCTATATTTTTTTATTTTTCCAGTCGCATTCAACATTTTTTCTTCATAATCTGTATCAACGTCCGTGTAATGTAAGCAACGTATTTCACATTTTCGGTTGCAACATTTACATTGTATTGATTTTGTTTTAATTTCTGAAAAGCAATACATACAAACGTTTTTCATATTTTTAGATATTAATAGTAGATCGTTTGCTACTTTCTGTCTGTATATTTCAGGATCAAATGTCATTTCAAAATCTTTTTTGTATCCTAAACAGTGCAAGTAGTACATAACAAACACTCCACAGCTATATCCATCATTTTATGATTGATACGGACGATTGTCCATCGTCCATCTTTTCCACTTTTTAACTTTTATCTTAGCTAATGAGCTAGTTGAATTTTCCGTAAAGTATTGGAAGGCTTTTCTGGCTCGATCTTCATCTGTAGTGTCTCCGTACGGATCTAACACGCAAAACTCTTCCTCTTTAATATTCATCACAAGTAAGTGCCAGTGGCCTTGATATGAATATGGCATCAATAGCGTATCGTGGAGAGGGATTTCAGTTCTGCAAAGGTATCTTTCCCTGCA